AATGTAAACTTTCAATTTGACCCAGATGATAGAAAGTCTACATTTAGATACATCTTTATATTGAGATCCTGTGTAGTGAGTTAAAAAACTATTAAACAAAGGTCCACAATAGAATCCATGACTAAGGCTGAGCACATTGCTGCTAGTGAGGCTGCCAAAGAAGCAATTTTGATGAAGAAATTCGTCTAGGAATTAGGAGTCATATCATCCAACACATTTTTTCAGATTTGTTTACATTGGAGAACAGGTCAGAGATCGTGTAGAACGATGGAGAAAGAGATTGATGTGGAAGTAGTAGATCGATGGTTTCTTGCAATTTGTCAGGATTAAATTCGGACCATCACGCTATCAACCCTAGTTGTTTAATTCTATTATATTGCTGATTATTTTCTGATTTGATTGTTAATCATACATGAGATTTTTTAGATCATAATATTTATGAATTGATGCATGTTTTGGGCATCGAACCCTAGGCCGATTTGATCTAGTTTTGGTCCACCTTACATGGGTTTAGATTAAAGCAAGATAAGCCCATTTTAGCATAGACCGAACTGCTTTTTACAGTTGGGCTCATATACCAAGATAAGTTTTATTAGATAATTGGGTCCAATAATGTGATGATAATGTATTAATTTAAATGGATTTGAGTTTTATAAGATTTAAGTTGATTCTTGATCAATTATGTGTGATGTGTTATATGAATGTGATTTGTACATGGGCCATAAGTGATTGACCCATACAAAGACTTTATGTGGCTCTCTACGCCCTTCGTGGCTGAATGCACATTATTGCCATGATGTTCATGGATCATTGAATGATCTCCCTCATAATGGGCCCTTYTCTTATTTCCCCTCTAAAGAGGGAACCTGTGGAAACCTTAGCCCGTTTAGGATCCACTTAAATATGACTTTGTGAAAGTCAATGGGAGCCATTGTGGTAAGACCTAAAACCAACATAGGGACTGATATAGTTGTTCCCTCATCAATAATATAAGTGGTAGAAGATAGGGAATATCATAAGATGACATCTTTAAAGGCTTTCAACCATTAGCATGAAAGTAGACTGAATTGGTGGGTAGAGATATACCATAAAACTGGGCCATCTGTTTCACTAAGGCGGTCAGTTGAATTGCTTCATTGGATGATAGAAGCGTCATAGATTAATGGGAGGGGCCTATCCTAAAATGGAAGACTCTTTCACGATACCTTGGGGCTTCTGACATAACGGRCCAACACTTATCGGTTAGAAAGATTTGACATAAAATGACTATGAACCTTTTCTGGTGGAGGCCAAAGGGGAAACTCATGAGACATGAGTGGATTTATGATCCTCAATAGAAAGTGATGGGGTTATACAATTAAAACACTTGGCCTCATGCCGCTATTGATTTCCCACATTTCTAGAGGCATCAATAATGTCTACATCCTTGAGATAGAGGGAAATCTTAGAGTTAAACAAATGGAAATGGAATATAAAAGTTCATTTTATGGTAGATAACATGAAACAATAATCGGGTCATGGACTAATTATTCATTCCATTTGTTAGAAATGACATACAAACCATTCGCTAAACTGCTAGATGATAACAAACTCAAGGGATGACCCAACTACACAGACTGGATCCGTAGCCTTAACCTAGTTCTTATGTCTAAAAAATTACACATAATTGCCAACGACAAGGCATCAGAACGTCCTGGTGAAAGAGCTTCTAAGGCAAGAAAGAAAAAATATCAGGAATGGGAAGAGAATAACTCTCTTACCCATTGTTATATCATCACCTCACTAAACAACTCTATTTAGAGATAATTTGATAAAATAATATCTTATAAATAAATCATGGGTAACTTGAAGGTCATGTATGAGTAGTATCATTTTGCATGACAAAAGGTCCTCAAATTGTTGATGATCAACTAAGATGTTTGAGAACCAGTCGGTTCATGACCATGCCATGAAGATGGTAGGGTTCGTAAATGAACTAGAGGCTCTTGGCTTTAAATTAGATGATGATACAAAAAACTTATGCCATATTGAACTCTCTGCCCACATCCTTTAACCAGCTTATCCTCAACTATAACATGAACAAGCTAAAAGCTAGATTGTGAAAGTTTAGCAATATGTTACAAAAGGTCAAGGAATTGATTAAAAATGACAAGTCAATAGCCATGCTTATTGAAGAAGATAAATCTAGCAAGAAAAAACATAAGGGTAAGAAGAGGCTTCAAAATAAGGGTGGTAATTCAAAGAAGTAGAAGAGAGACAGATCATTATATGAGTGTTAGTTTTGCAAGAAGACTGGGCATTGGAAGAGRAATTGTCCTTAATATTTAGAATTCCTCAAGAAGAAAAAAAAAAGGTTTTTTCGAAACTCAAGTCATAGAGACTAACATGTTGGTCATTTTTGCCTCTTGGTGTATTGACTATGGGGCTTCTACTTATGCATGTAACATTTTGTAGGGGTTCAAGGAAAGCAAAAGACTGAGTGATGATGAGATCATGCTCTACATGGGTACATTTGCAACCATTGCAACTATTACTATAAGATCAGTAGATTTAGTTTTTACAGAAAAGATATTTACCCTAAAAGATTGTCTTTATGTTTTATAACTTAGGAGAAATTTGATTTCAATTTCTAAGTTACGTAAGGATGATTATTCTATTTTATTTAGTAATAAGATTATAGTTATATTGAATAWCAAATTCTTTACTTATAGAGAACTTAAGAATGGTCTTTATGTACTCTATAATTCTCTAAAAACAAGTGTGACTGAAACAACCTCAGAATACATCCCCATGAAAAGAACACGAGAAACTATTAATTCAACATGCCTGTGGCATTACTGACTTGGCCATATAAATATAGAACAAATTACAAAGTTGGTGAAGAATAATACTCTAGATTCTCTAATAGTAGAACATCTACCAATTTGTAAACCTTGCCTTCAAGGCAAAATGACAAAATGACCATTTACAAGTAAGCCTAAAAGAAGTAGAGGCACATTGAACCTTAAACATATGGATGTATGTGATCCCCTAAATGTTAGGACACACAACCAACATTCTTATTTTACATCTTTTATTGTTGATTATTCTTGGTATGGCTACATGTATCTCATAAAGTATATAGTTCTTAGTGTTCAAAAAGGTCTTTCTACATCCAATCTAACCACGCTATTAGCAACAGAATTAACTTGCATAAGTTTAKATGGACCATAGTCCATTAACTTGCGTGTGACAAAGTTCATGACATGACTACACCTTCAATTGCTAATCTTCACAGATTCCTTAAAGCTTCACAAGAACCAAGAAGCATTATACTCTTTCATATTGACACAAAAAATATCAATTTGCATATTAGTACCATCAGTAGGAGTAACAATGGTAACAACATCAGGACCATATCCCCTTTTATATTCATTGCACTCCATCCAAATCATTTGGACTCAACAAAGAATATATTTTCCTTCCATTTTGTTCCATGCATCATATCTTTTCTCAAAGTACAAGTCTTCAAAAATTTCCCACTACTTTTAACCATGTTACTGGACTTTTTCACATCTTGTAAAAAACTTCAACTATTTCTAAGTTATCCTTCATCAAATCTTCCATTGAAGGACCATTACCCATAGTGTCTCTAGCTATCCAAAATATTGGGAAGGGCGGTCTCTATATGGACCTAATTGTTTTTTTACACAAAGTAGATGCCCTCAGACTTGAACCCTCACACACTTATCAGCGTTAGATTTTACAATTGCACCAAGCAATGGCCCCTTCACTAAATTCAGCCATACATTCTTCATCACTAAATGGTGTCATGATTAAAAAGCTTAGTGATCCCCTTACTTTATAAAAAAATCTGGGATTTGCTTTAAGTTCACTTACCTTTTGACTCTCACCACTTATCCATCTTAGTATACTTATTTCAGAGATTCTCATTCTATGGACATCTTGTCCCCTGACTATTCACTATCCTACTTCAAAAGCACATTTTTTTTTTTATAATTTATCCTTTAATTTCAATGGTGATTTAGCATGTCATAATCGCATACTACTATGGAAGGGTGCCACTAATTCTCAACTTGTCACTTGGTTGGATGGCCTGATATGTGGTACACCCACCCCGCCTATAAGGAAATAGATAGACATTGTCTCAACCCATATCTTATAGGTTGTATAATTAAAAATCTCTTTTCTTCAAAAGAAAAAACACAAGTAACATGCTTAGAGACAGCTCTATTATTTATTGGGCTTATTCTGTTTGACACAATAATAGTTGGTTATACCTAAAAGGCCTAATTCCCAGTCATTAGCCAATGTTTGTCTGACAAGATCAACTACTTGAACAGTTTTATTGCTGGCCTAACAAGTGGTTCCAAGTGCAATTTTCTGGTATAACCATATGACAAATGGTTTTAAGTGCAATTTTTTGGTCAAACACCAACTACCTCATAGACACAACAGATTAATATTTCCAGACCCACCATTAAATGGATCCCACTTAAGCTAGAGACGACTAATCACATCTTTTCTTTAATCATGAAATAAAGAAAAGAATATAAAATACATTCGTTGATAGCTAATGGAGAGAAAAGAAATACCCTAATCACTATATTTTCACTAATCACATCTTTATCATCACTCACAAATAACTCATGAATTAACTCAAATAATGCTCACATAGAGAAAGACACAAAACCAACCAATATTGAATGAAATAGTAATAAACAAACCAAAGAGCTAGATCAACCAACCTTTCTACAGTATATTATTCTCTTTTGTAATTGTTTAATCTCTCTTCTAGTGAGTTATATGTATTTTCATGTAATTCTATTTTTCCTTAGGCTGCGTTTGGTTGGAGTGCAAATCTGAACCGTTGCAAATTTGCATTCCGGTTCAGATTTGCATTCGTTTGAAAGTTCAAAAATACACCTGTTTTCGATGCAAAATGCGTATAGACCAAGATTTGCATAAAAAATAGGTGAAAATATTGCTTTATAAAAAATGAAGAAAATTTTGCCACGATTTTGTTCAAAGTAAATAAGATAGGTTTCGACTGTTTTCTCTTCGAGAGTTCCGTAGAGAAGAGAAAGGTTCTGCGATAAAGGTAAGAGGGCTCTGAACTCCAAATCCATCCATCTGCCAAGGTAATGAGAGATCTGAACTTTCATTTTGATTTTCTTTTCGATTTTAGGTCACTTCCCTCGTCGAGAATTCTTGGAAGAGTGGAGGATTGAATTGTGGAACGAGAATTCTTATTATAGATACCACAGAGGTTTTTGAGCCAAAAAAAAAAAAGATGGATAAAATCCTGTACCTTGTTGGAGTTTTCAAATTGTTAGGAGTATTGCTCCGCGGGGAACTCGTTTCATGTCGGCGTATTCRTGCCGGTTAGACGTCGGCCATGAAATCCATCACTATACCGAGCAGATCACGGGCATTCACATCTCGGTCAAACGGAACTGTGCGCGATTCTCTCGTGAATCGCCTTCAGCAAGGTATGGCATTCAGGGTCTAAACGTGGTATTTGAGGAAGAAAATTTTATATTTGAAGACTTTAATATTGCCTTGTTTGGTGTTTTGGGTTTTTGTCTTAACTTGTGGTATGTCTTCTTTCCCCTATGTTCTCTCATTGGTTTGTGTTAGAAAAGTCCTGGTGGTCCAATATCACTACTCTAAATCTTAGTTTAGCCTCTTGTTTGCTCCGGTGAACAAATCTTCTATGTGCTATTAGTTATTTCATTCTAGCCATATTTTTTCTCATGCAGTTCTGCTCAGCTTTTTTTTTTTTGTAATCAGATATACTGTGTTCGTTAAGCGAGTTGTAGTTTGCTGTTTCTGTTGCCTCCAAGAGGAAAGAATGGGTTATAGTTCTTCTTGCTAGAATTCATATTCAGCTTTCTAGCAGATTCTGGATAGACCAAATTGGTGGAACTTCAGATCTATACCTACAAGAACAGGGGTTCTTTTCTTGGGCTGGTAAGCAGCAAGTGTTTGTTGAGATGTATCGTTGATTACAGCAAGTAAGATGCATAATGGCTGTTTGATGTTAGTATGGTTATGGAACCCTCAATTGCAGCATTTCCTTATTGGTGGATCCTTGGCAATGCATGTTGCAGTAAGCAGCAATATTCATTATGCCATGTACATGTTTGATGAAATACCTAAGGGAGTACATATTTTAGTAAGGGGGAGTCTTTTGTCTTGTCTAGAGGCAGTTTGTTTTAAGTTGCATTTGTTTCATCATTCAGTTATTCATTTATTTTTTATTGGTGTCCTCATTCAGTTATTTGATATTTTAAAAGTCTTCAATGGTGTAATATCTTTTTCTCATACATAAGTTTTTGTTGAGTTGGTAGTATACCATTGTGATTGGGGAATGTGTAGAGAGGTAGACCTGATGATTGGTTGTCTTAGGGTAAGAATTGTTGCCCTCCATAAGTACCATGTTGGTTTTGTCTTGGCTAAGATCCATTTGTCTCCATGAGTACTACCTAATCAGTTGAAAATTTGTGTTGACGTAAGTAATAGCTGAAAGCATTGTGTGTACAGTCCAAGAAAATTGGATCCTTGTTAGTGTAGGAGTGCTAGTATACCACCGTATTCAAGTTACCTTGTTTGAGAGAAGCTCTACAGATTAATTATTCATGTTGCTACCAAGATTACATCATTTCTTTCCTGGAAAGCTAGCTAGTGCTAGCTTGAGAAGCATTGGAGTAATTAGACTATAATGAGTAGGAGGAATGAGATACCTTAACAAGAAAATAATATTCAATGACTTCAACTGTAATATCAACCCATTGTGCTCTAGTTTACAATTTGGACAATCTAGTGTTAATATAAAGCATCTCTCTTAGAGAGAGGCTTTTTTTTGATAAATGATAGAAATTTATCAAAAAAAAAAAAACTCTCTTAGAGAGAGGTAGAGGCATGTGGTATTGTAATTTGTAAGTTTTATTGTTTATTCTATCTCACCTTATGCACAACAGGCTATCTATAACTTCATTCTCCATTTTGATTAAATGAATCACAAAAGGACTACTCTCCAAGCTTTATGGGATTAAGACAAGGGGACCTGCTATCCCCTTTTTCCAAAATAGTAGCAAAGGGTTGGTGAAATGTACTGCAGGCTTCACAAAGATCGGAGGCAATCTACTTCCTCCAAGGGAAGCATTCACTTAGTAGTGGCCCTTGTCAAGATCCTAATGCAAGACTAGCTCATGGAGAGAAATATCAAATTAACAAACAAATGTGTGTTACGTGAAGAATCAGAGGAGGATGCAGACCATTTAGATGCAGACCATCTAAATATTGATATTACCCTCTGCCTCTTAATGTCTTTATAATGTATTCCCATAATTTAATCTGTAGTATCATATGTTTTGTTATCAGCATGTTCATTGCCATTTCTGTGGGTTTTTTCTAGACATGTTTTCTTGTGGTCTGCATGTTTTTGCCAAAAGTTAGGATCACTTATTATTGAAGGATTTTAGTCATTTAAAGAGGCAATTTCAGATATGGTTATTCATTTTTTTTTTTACATTTTTTGTTCTGTATTTGTAGTAATCAATTGTGCTTCTTTGACTTTATAGGGCTTAATTTAGTTTTAAGTGTATGTTAGTAGAAACTTAGATGTTCTTTCAACTGGCTTAGTCCTTTTTAGAAATCCAGTTTGATGAGTTATCTTTATCTTTATTAATTAAACCAAGATTTCTCATGCTAAGATGTTCTTTCAAATGACATTGATTCATCATGCATCTGTGGGGTCAAGCTCTGATTCAGCTCTGAGTTAACAAGAAAGTGAGAAACCCCCTCAGCAACTTTCTTTCATACCCAACTCTATGGCTGGCGCCTGGCAGCATATATGATAGTACATTTGACAGAAGAGGTCAAAAGGAAACTATGGGAAATTAATGCTCTTGAGAGGTCAACTTCCAAGAGGAGAACTGCCAAGAGGAGAATTGCCGTGTTGTAGCTGAACTAGGAAGTGATTTCCTTGGAGCATATGTGATTTCCATGGCCTCTAATGTATGTGTTAACTATTGGTGTTCAATTTTTGGTTTTGTGGCTGGGAGAAAACTAATAGCTACATGTAACAAGGATTTCTTCAATAAGTCGTTAAGTTCAGCCAGTTCATCTCTGCCCAGTTTTTATTTTTTATAATTTATTAATGAATCTGTTATTTTTTATATTTGTTTAATGGCATGAGTAGTTGAAACACCATTGGGTAGCAAGACAGTTGTATTGGCATTGATGAAAAGGCCAAACATCCACAAAAATCCTATTCTTATTTGCATCTTTGAAAACAAATGAGCTGAGTGCAAAGTGGGTATGTAAATCTTGAACCACTTTGCACTCACATGAACCAAACATTTTTGTTTTGCACTCTACAAATTTGTATTCGTACTCCTTCCAAACGCAGCCTTAAGAGTGAGGTTGCACCTTGAGTGGGAGAAAACAAAAGTTTGCTCATGTTCATATATCTCTTTTATTGTATTTTACAAAATTTTATGTCTAAATCAAGTAAAATTATGACTAGCAAGCACTAAAAGTTGGATGTGAAGATATATAAGAACATGAATAAGTTCAGAAACTAAAGAGAATGCTAAGCCTTAACTAGCCAAATGAGATGAACCAATTGATAGTTAAGTTATTTTGAGCCACTACCCAATATAAGAACTCTACAAAAACTTTTACCAAGATCATATCGTTTATGGCAATGAAGGGAGAATGCCATCAACATGAAAGCAACATGAGCAAACACATTGTATGAAAAAAATGCCAAAGTTTAGGTTCATATCCAATTTATCCCTCCTAAGATCGTAGATAGTTGGGACCACCATTGGGTAATTACCTTTCATTATATCTACAATAGGGGTGATTGCTTGGGGCAATGGTAACATATTAGTCTAATGAGAATAAGAATGAAGGTTTAAATCTGAGAGTGGCCACCTTTTACAAACAAATGACATAGGTTAGGATTATATCCAGTCCACTACTCTCAAAACAGTGAAAAGCCAGGACAAACATTAGATAATGACCCTTAAATAAAATTAATCTGAGGAAAAGACTGAAAAGACAACCATACCAAAGACTTTAGGCCTCATTTTCTTTCTAAGGAATAGGGGTTTGGAATTGGGATTGGAATGGCATTCCCCTATTTAAGGAAAAGGCCATTCCCTCTTCCTCCCTTGGGAATAAACCCTATTCCAATTGCTTCCAATTCCGATTCCTGTTTCTATCTAAACCATCCAATTGGTTGTTTAGCATTTTCAAGGTACAGGGTGTTTGGAGAGGGRTTTTGTTTGGTTTTAGAAAAAACTTGTAGGTGTAGCCAGCTCTTATTGCTGAGTAAATGCCAAGTTTGTATTCATTGCAAGTTTGCTTTTTTACGTGGATTCTATCTTTTAAATTTTCATTCTTCTATTAACTAGAATACAAAGCATCTTCTTAGCATAGGAAGTTATAAATTTGTTAATCACCATGTTTTTTTTACTTGTTAATTTCACAAAATACCTTTGGAATTGGTTTTCCATTCCCTATTTGAGGGCAGTCTTGGTTTTGAGACCCACTAAATGATGTTTCATCACTGATTTTATAAGTGAAACAAACCATGTACTTCACAAGTACATATGGTTTTGAGACCCACTAATCTTGGCAAAACTTAGTTTTCTAGGGTAAAAAAAGTTGATTGTAAAGTATGTAATTTGTTAAATTCTTTATGGTTACTACTAAAATAATTAATAATATTAATAAGAAAGGCTATTTATTACTAGAAATTCCATTAACAAGCATTCAAAAGTAACCATCAGAGAAGAAATACGTTACTTGAATTAACCTCTTCAACCACTATTCAAGTGGAAAAATGTCCTTTGTTAAAAAAAAACATACCTAATTGACCTTGATTCTATCTGAAAGCTCTATAATTGATCACTGATCAGAGAACACACTAGATTTGTTGAAAATCTACAATGTATATGTTGGAATGTGTCAGAGTGTTGTCATTCATGTTATATATTCTACTATCAAAAAAATTAACAAAATATTAAGAAAAGAAAAGAATGACTAAAATAAGAAGAATATTACTAGAATAAAGAGCTTTGTTCTTCTTTCCCGATGATTTCTTTTAAACCCTTCTTTGCAGAAAGGAGAAAAAAGAAGATTATTTTCTTGTTGATAAATACAAAACGGATTGAACTTGTTGGAACGTGGAAGCTTAGAGATTTCTGCTCGAGATTCCATCTGCGTACCTCTCGTATTTCCCCTCTTTTCTTTTATCAAAAATCACGAATGGGTGGGGAAACTCAAAGATTTCTGCTTGAGATCATATTCTATAGCATTTCTCTCGCATTTTCCCTCTTTCCCTCGTATTTGGATTCTTTAAATACCGAAACCAAGCTCAGAGATTTCCACTCAAATTTCCTCCCTCGCATGGTCACACATTTTTTCCCTCCCCCTTTTTGATTCTTGATAAAAAAAATGTGAATAGGTTATAATCGGTGGTTCATTGAACCACTGGCTTAAAGTGAAAAATCCGTCGGTCTAATATTTAATTATAATGATGGTTCTATGAACCATCAACTCAGTCTTTAATTTCATCACCTTAAATGCATAATATAAAGATGGTTCATTTAAACCTCCTAGATAGATAAAATTGGTTTCCGTAAAACAATAAATCTATCAAAGTTGTTGATAAATACACCTATTCACAATCCAAGCTTTGGGCCTGGCTTATACTGTGTCGGGCTCAGGCTTTGGGTCGGGCCCCATTCAAATTTTGGAAAAAACCAAGCTCAAGCTCGGCCCATGAATAGGCATGCTGACAAATAAGTATAAACTATCGGACAATATTACTACATCTAACAACAAATTTAAAAAATTTTGTCATCCAAACCCCAATTTCTTGTAATGTGGGGTTGTGGTTGATTACCCAACAACTGCAAGGGCATATATGAGTAAGTTTCACAATCTAAATTCTACTAGAGCATGCAAACAGGAAAAAAATGCATTCAATAACATTCAATTAACTGCCATTTATAATAACTAACCAATTCAACTAGGTTTTGGCCTAAATTGCTTCTTGAAGCATTCGTAGCCAATTCAACTAGGCTTTGGCCGTGTTTCCGCTATATAATAGCTAGCTTGTGGTATACCTGATGTTGGTTCATTTTATTTTGTTTTTGACTTATTATGTTCTATTTTATGAAGGATTGAGATTTTCTCCAAATGTCCCATTACAAGACAGTTAGATGTAGAACAAAGTTGGAGCTCTTCAATATGTGGAATCAACCTCTCATGAACTATTCAACATCTTCAACCAACTAGCTACCATAGTTATTTAGCTCAAGGCACAATTCCAAATATGTGGATGGAGACATTGGATTAAATTTGTATTGTTAATTTTATATGATAACAATTTGGAAATTGTAATATATTTTTAACACAATTGAAAATAAATTATAGCCAGGATGTAATTTTTATCTTTTATAATTTAATGTGTTACATATGCATTTCATAGGTGCATTTTCATTTAGTTGCTTAAAGTGAGTATGTTATACTATATACATTTATCAAATGACTCCTAATTTATTTTTAGTTATAGTTAATTGGTCTTTAACAATAGGTATTATAATATTTGTAACAATTTATATAGGTGCTAAGAAATGTAACCAATTTAATCATTGCCCATTTAACAACAGTCTACAAGGTTTGTTGCTTAAAATATTTATAAGAAACAACTGGTCAGCAGCAATTAACTTGATTGTTGTGTATGGAACTTTAAGGTAACAATTGATTGATTGTAGCTAATTTAACAATAATTTGCAAAGCCTGTTGCCATAAATATTGATGAGAAACAATTATTCAATTGTTGCCAATTAATTGTAAATTGGCAACAACTAATATGATTGTTGTATTTGGAACTTTGGGACAACAGTTGCTTAATTATTGTCATTCAATAACAGTCTACAAGGGTTGTTGCCTAAAATGATTATTAGATACAATTCTCCAAATGTTGCAAATTTACAATTAGCAACAATAAATATGATTGTTGGGGACGGTATTGTTGCAAAACAAGTAATTAGTTGTTGCTAAAAATCTATATGGATAACGATTTTTATCAACTATTGCTAAAACAGAAACTTTGGCAACAATTGCAAGTAATTGTTGCAAACCACTATTAGTGCCAATTGTTGTGGAAAAACATATTTTGCAACACTTGATTATTGTTTAAAACTTCTAACATTGGCTCCGCTAGCAACGACTTGTTCACTTGTAAGTAAAACATTTGGTAACAATTTTTCCTATATTGAGAATAAATTTTTCTTATTGCCAAAGGCTAGTTTTTTTTATAGTGTGTTGATTTGAAGAAGCTCTTTGTGCAGTCACTATTTTCAAACTTTGTGACTATTCATAGTTAGTTAATGGTTAAGACTTTTAATGTTTGAATAATGTCCCTTAATCACACTCGATCAAGTCATGACTATTGGATTTACTTAAAATGTCAATGGTCATTGTTTAGCCTCAAATGCACCCTTGTGTGCGGATCACACCATATGCGATTTCACATATCTTGTGATTTTGAGATTTTGCAAAAAAATCCATAGTATACGATTTGCAACTTTACAAATTTCATAACTTGCGACTTACAATTTGACAAAGACAGCCATCTACAATTTGTGATTTTACAAAAATCACAATTTGCTATTTGATTAATTGTGAATCACCTCCTTATATAAAAAAATTAATGCTACTTCTTGTGAATCATGAGGGTGCGAGCAAAGTGCACTTATAAATTGCCTCATTGTGCCACACACATGCACGCTCACGCGTACATGCCCATTGTGTGGTAGCAAATCTCTATATTCTCTTCTCAATAACTTTAAGGAGTGTGAACAAGCTCATATTTAAAAGATCAAATCAAGTTCAATAATTTTCCAATGTGGAATTAGGTTTTAAAGAAAAGAAAACAAGTTAAAGAACTAATTTTAGTGGAAATTTAAAACCACTTTTAAGGTGCATGTGTAAGTGTATTTTTCATGTAATTTATCAATCAAACACCAATTGGATTTTAATCTTCTAGTGAGATTAAAGTCCAATAGATTATAGAGAGGAAAGATCGGTGTAGGCAGCCGAGATAGAACGGATTGAGTTGTTCCAAGGTCTAACAATGCTACTTACATGCGGCTTC